AGAGAGAGAGAGAGAGAGAGAGAGAGAGAGAGAGAGAGAGAGAGAGAGAGAGAGAGAGCACATTTGATAGTCGTGTGTGTGTGTGTGTGTGTGAAAAGAGAGAGAGAGAGAGAGAGAGAGAGAGAGAGAGAGAGAGAGATGGTCTACTATCAAACTGCACACAGCTGTAACAGTTGCACGCACATAGTACAGGTCATACGTAGAGCATACTCACACGAGGACGCTTCTGGATGTATCTGATCAAAATTACGGCCAGTTCTGCATGTATCTGAATTCCATTCCATCCAATGTTCAGTCGTGAAAGTCCTACCCGTGCCAGTCTATATTCCCTTACTCGCGCGCACGACAACACACACACTTACACACAAAAAAAGATATAAAGAAGAGAAAACCACACGCCCATACTGAATGGGTTTTATAGCTGTCACAGGCTACCTTCTTCCGCCCAATACACTGCGCGGTCAGTATAGCTCTATTTGGGGTATCTTTCAGTCTAAATACAGCTTTCATTACCGCACGTTGTATCGTTGAAAAAGAAGGTAGCGCTAGTTTCTCTCAGACTACCTGCCGTTCGTGTCAGGGGTTTGTGCTGCTCCCCACAAATAGATGGAGCCTTTTTTCTATAAAAAAAAGAAAAAAGAAAAAAGGAAAAAGAAAAAAAAAAGAAAAAAAAAGGAAAAAAAAAAGAAAAAAAAAGAAAAAAAGAAAAAGAAAAAAAAAGGGGTTTGAACCCCCACCGACACTGTTCTGACAGACAAACTAGCGCTACCTTTCTTCCCCCGTATCCGTACGGTCATTATCGCTGTATTTAGACTGCAAGATACCCCCTAGACTGCAAGATACCCCCAATACATACGGCTCTACTCGACACACCTCGTCGCCTTTACTCAACCCCCCCCCCTCCCCCTCCCCCTCCCCCTCCGCTGGGCGACGGGGTGGTTAACTTTGCTTACCCGTCGTTAACTCTCAACAAGGAAGGGTGGGTAATCGTACTAATAGGGAACTCTGTGTGTTCGTGTCAGTTTTAAGATTGCCGGTGGTGTCAGGGTTTTCTCTCTCGAGGAAGGCGATCGCTGCTTGTTTGTTCGTTTTTTTTAACTGGGAAAAAGGTCGACGGGCTTGACATATCATCATCCAATTGACGGTCCCTAGGTAAATCAGACTTGTAGTACTGCTGTACTGCACTCATCTGTTTCAACAGTTCAGTTCCGAGTTGTACCAACTGAGCTATAGGCCAATTGGTGCTATCGCTAACACTGGGAGTTGGAGGAAGTGGTAACGACCCCGACGAGTGGCACCCTCCCAGTTTTGACTTCGCAACCCTGCGCCTAGGCGCACCCTGGCCAAGCGTCATGCAGACCGTCTCCACTTGCCCCGCCGAACCTGCTGTGCCTCGCCCATCCCCCTTCGCACGAAACACTGCCTTCTTGCTCCTCCTCCTCCTTGTGCTGCATCCGAATCTCGCCATAGCTAGCGCACTCTTTGCTGCATGCCTCTCCGAGGAAGTTTTTCTTCGCGTTTCCGCTAAACGCTTTGCGCTGCTAATTGGAAGCACCATCCGCTTCATAACTCTCTTCCTCGCATGTTGCTGCTGCCTTTTCTTTGAGCTCGGCGCCACGATGGAA